CGCATAGTCGACCGCGGTTCGCGTCCCAGACCCAGTGGCTTAAAACTCACGCCGGGTGCGTGTGCATGCTTGCCCAAGATCCCGAGAGGAGAATGAAGGAGAAGGGATTGCGGTGTGGCCATCCCCCCTGGGGGTGATTTCTCACTTTCTGTCTCTCTGTCTGTCTGGCGAGCGCACGTGCCCTGTAGTGAAAACCTCTCCAAAAAAAAAAAAAGAAGAAGCTTTCCTAATCTAAACATGCACACATGCACACACACATGTGTGCACATGCACAAATGCACAGCTCTGATTTTAAGCTTATACTTGTCAGTTGCCAAAAGAACTTGGCATGGAAGACTGTGACTAAAACATGTCCATGAAGAGAATAATCTTCCTGGCACCAGCAGTTAGAGTAATGGCTATGTCGCTGGATTCCCATGTAGTCGACCGCGGTTCGCGTCCCGGATCCAGTGGCTTAGAACTCATGCCTGGCGCGTGTGCATGCGTGCCCAAGATCCTGAGAGGAGAATGGAGGAGAAGGGATTGCGGCGTGACTATCCCTCCGGGGGGTGATTTCTCGCTTTCTGTCTCTATGTCTCTCTCTGTCTGTCTGGCGAGTGCACGCGCCCTATAGCAAAAACCTCTCCAAAAGGAAAAAAAAAAGAATTATTTTATTTATTTAACTTTATTTATTTATTTATTTATTTAAATTTGACCAGAGAGAGACAGAGTAAGAGAGAGAAAGTGACAAAGCAGGACACCAGGCCTGGGACTCAAACCACAGTCGGCCATGTAGGAGTCCAGCACTTTCAACCACCATGCAACCTGCTGGCCCCAGGGATAAATATTCTTAAATCCTATATTTGATAGGAATTGATATCTAGAATATATAAAGAACTCCTACAACTCAACCAAAGAGACCTCTTCCCGACACAACCCACCTTAAAAAGGTATTAAACAAGAAAACTTAAATAGACATTCTCCAGAAAAAATATACAGATGGTCAGTAAATACATGGTCACACAAATCTACATAGGTGGTAAAATTGCATGAAACTAAACACACACGCACACACACACACAAAGTAGTATAAAACTGGTGAAATCTTAGTAAAATTGAAGGATTGTACCAATGCCAATTTCTTGGCTATTGCTATTGTACCATGGTTATACAGGATATTACCACTGGGAAGACAGTGAAAGATATAGAAAATCTCTCTGTGTATTATTTATTACAATTGTATTTGCGTGCAGTTGTAAAAAGAAAATCGTAATCAATGTAAAAATCCCGAAGACGCACCAAAGTACTTCCATTGCAAGCTAGTGATAGAATAGTTATTCATAGACTTATTCTTTTCACCTCTCATGGCATCCTGTTGAGTTAAAAAAGGGCAATTTTCAAGCTGGTTCCATGGCCTAGTGGTAAAAGTGGCTGACTGGATTCCACATTGCTCACTGAGTGATTGGAGTCTCTGATCCTACAGCTTGAGAAGAACACTGGGCGTGTGTGTGTGTGTCCAGAATTCCAAAACGAAGGAGAGATGGAGAAGGGATTGTGGTGTGACCATTCTGCAGAAGGGGTGCTTTCTCTTCCCCCTCTTTCTGTCTCCCTCTGGCAAGTACACACATACTTTAACAAAAAAAGGGGGGAGGAATTTTCATCTATCATTACAAAAAAAATATAGGATGGTTTTTCCAAAATTTGGACATAAGTCTGTCCTATGTAAGTTAAACTAGTGAAAATAAAATGACTTAGGAGAGTAGCCATTAGCCACTTTAGATATATCCAAAACAAACCAAAATAAAGCAGGGCATACTGAAAGATAACAAAACAGTGGGATGTCATGGAGGTAGACCTTGAATGTTAAGGTTAAGGTATTAATTTTTTTAAAATAATTTGAAGAAAATAACAATTACAATTTCTATTACTATCAGGAAGGGTGTCCACACCCTTCTAGAAAGTGGGAGCCCAGAGAAGTGTCAAGTTGCCCTAGCGCTACCCTAGAGAGTGGGGATCTTACCTTAACGAAAGCATTGATCTGCTTGGCTGTTATAGTTGTCAGAGCTGCCATTTATGCAATGTGGGTTATGTGGGAGGTGATTTACTTGTATCATCATAATCCTTAGCATGATCTTGCAAGTTAGAAGTTAGCTCTATGAGTTACACTAAGGTTTAAGAAATGAAGGTACTCATCATCAAAGATCACAAACCCAGTGACTGGCAGAGCTGAGTTTCAGTCCTATGCCTTGCCAACCCATTTCCATGTCACCATAATGCCTTTCTTTAAAGAAAGTCAGTACATAATGCTTTTTTAGCTTGATGCTATAGTCTTAGAATTATCTTCTTAACTCTCTTCACTCCATCTCCCTGCTTCTAAGTTTTGATTTTCCACGTGGATGTTCTTAAAAAAAGGAGCCAATGTACCTGTCCATGTGACAGTTGTGTTTCTTCTTGTACATTCTTAAGCTGACATTTTGATTTATTCACCAATTTATTGTTAAAATGGTTACCATTTCCTCTGGGGCTCATAATTCTGAGTACATTGGCACATTCTGCTCCTGCAGAGATACAAAATACTGAGCTTGAGTTGACCTCCGAGATACTACTACTCTGTGAGCCTCAGTCTTTGACGTCCTCTCTCTCTTCGACTTGAACAATTTCATGTAGGGACATGGGGTTCAAGATTTAAGTAACTGACCCAGACCCAAAAAGTCAGTCATTGATGATGCTGAGGTTAGGAACTAGATTTCCTAATTCCTTTTCCCCCCCAGTGTAACCATCTTGACTGTACTCTTCCTGTCAGAGCACAGCACTTCAGTAACAGATTTAGAATAATTGGTTTGCATACTCAGTCACTACTCCTATTTTCTGTACGTCCTCTAGATGTCAGCTACTGGTAGAATCACTTTTTTTTTTTTTTTGAGAGAAAGCGAGAAAGAGAGAGAGATTTTTGCCAAAGGGTACATATGCTCACCAGAGAGACAGAGAGACAGAAAGTGAGAAATCGCCCCTGGAGGGATAGTCACACCGCAATCCATTCTCCTCCATTCTCCACTCGGAATTTTGGACATGTGCACACATGTGAGTTTCAAGCTGCCAGGTCTGAGATTCAAACTGCGGTTGGCCATGTGGGAGTTAAGCACCTTAACCACTATACCACCTCCTGACCCCAGAATTACTTTGGACAGCCTAATCAATAGCTTTATCATGAACCCACAACTTTTGGGGCATAAGTATTAATAAATGAGTAGACACTGACTATAGTGTGTATGTTGAAAATGTTCACATTCTTCCACTGGAAACCCATGCACCGCAAGTTTGTATAGTGGCTTTTATATATTGCATGTGTGCTAGATGTAAATAGTTGTATTCATTAGATCCCATCTCAGTATTTTCACCATCTGGTATAATACATGGCACAAGTAGGGTGCCAATAATTTCTAACTGGATTCAATTGGGTTGAATTAAATTGATTGAAAGTCTTTTAACTAGATCTATAATTTATTTAACATCCCTGGCAAGAAATGTGTTTTGACTAAAGCATGACTATTCAGAAACACGTTAGGTCCAGGTGTCTGTCTCCTGTTCTGAAAGACCAACTTAATTGGGTGTGCCAGTTCTGAGAACTAAAACCTCTTGAGACCTTGCAGAGAAATTGGCTCGCCAACCTAAAGGGAGTATCATGTTCTTTCTCTGGTGCCAACACTTGGAAGGTCTAGAGAGTCCTAGCATGTGAAAGCAGATGTCAGATCCTCAAAAATGCAGCAATGCTGGTTCAAATCCAGTAAATGAACTCATTGCCTTTCATTGTAATAGAACTAAAAATAATGAGCATTGCTATCTTCCTAGAGGTGCCCTTTCATCACCCACATTTCATCTGCTTGTCAGGTCACCAGTGGAGGTCACTAGGGCACTTCCTTTTCTTAGAACAGGTGGGTATTTTTTGCCTTTAGGATTATGTTGGCATCTAGTGTTTCGAATGGATTTTGTTGATGGTTTTAGTCAAGGAGAAGATGTACAGTGATATTACTTTAACACCAATAATTTTGTGTAGCCACTTTTTATAGCTTCTAGTTTTCACTTCATTTGGGCAGGGTGGTGATGGTTTATTCATACATTTTTGTTTTAAAAATGTAGCATCCAAAAATGCCTAACATTTGTATTCTTTACTGATGTGTTATTGGAAGTAAGTTAAAGTTATACATAATGCATTATTCTCCAGATAATTCATCTTTGGAGTCTTCTGAGATTGTTGCTCAATAACACATCATGAGAAAAACTCAGATTTGGAAAGCCTTTGGCATTTCCTTCTCCATTGCTAATTTATTAGTAACTTTTTTTTTAAAGAGAGATTTTTGCTATAGGGCACATGCACTCTCCAGAGAGACAGAAAGTGAGAAATCACCCCCCATGGGAATGGCCATGCTGCAGTTCCTTCTCCTCTATTCTCCTTTCAGGATCTTGGGCATGCACACACATGTGCCCAGTGTCAGTTTTAAGTCACTGGGTCTGGGACTCGAACTGTGGTCAACTACATGGGAGCCCAGCAACATAACCATTACGCCATCTGCTGGTCCCATAACCATTTGTTTTTAACACTTTTGTCTTCCAGGCTGTAGACTTACATACTATCAGATCCATAAAGCCTAAATGTTAATAATAATACTAAAATTAGGTTGGAGCGATAATGCCTTTGGTACCTAGCTTTTCTCCAGAAAGTTCTAACACAAACAACTTTTGTCCTTTCTTAAATGTATTGATCTGTATATATAAAGATCCATGTTTTTATGAGAAAGTTTCCATTAGTTCTCAACCAAGACTTTAAGATATTTAAGGTAATGTTAAATACGTTTACTGCCCAAAGGATTTCTCTAGTGAGTAGGGGGCAGTAAGGACACAGAGCTGAATCAAGGTTTCATTAAATGTGCTTTTTAAATTTCCTATTAGACAAACTTCTTCCCATCTTGAGGAGTGAAGCAAATGTTTGCCTTTATTATTAATACCTCTTTATTTCATTTCAGTGGCCCAGGCATGGATGGAAAGAAATGCAGCGTATGGATGTTTCTACCTCTTGTATTCACTTTGTTTACTTCCGCTGGATTGTGGATAGTGTGAGTATTATTTGGTAAAGGTTCAGGTGCAATGTAGATAAAAGTGTGAAGTTTTGATAGGATCTAATTTGCCTGTATGAATATATTTGTAAGTACTTTAAATTAATGTGTTTACTCATTCAGCCTTGCTGAAGTCCCTGTTTTCTTTTCCCATCTTCTGTTATTCAAGATGAATAACAAGAGGGAGTAATAAAGCATGCAAAGCAGGTAGTGCAGAATACTGGTTTCAGTTTGTGCTGGTGTGTTCTTGTAATGCACATTCTGTAAACTGGTTACATGGATTCATTATTTGCAAGACTTTCTCATTTGATACTAGCAAGCTATGGATTCCATTCACATTCACATTCACAGTCCATTCCTAGTCCAGGCCTGACATGTTTCTTTTCTTTCCCTTTTTCTTTCTTTCTTTCTTTTCTTTTTTCCTTTTTTTTTTTTTTTTGAGAGTTTTTTTCCCTATAGGATGTGTGTGTTCCCCAGAGACACAGAAAGTGAGAACTTACCCCCCACCCCCAATGTGGCCACACTGCAATCCCTTCTCCTCTAGTCTCCTTGGGATTTGGGGCACTACACACCCATGCCTGGTGTATTTTCATTTGCCAGGTCCAGGACTCGAACCCAGTCAAATATGTGGGAGTCCAATGACGTAACCATTATGCAGTTTCTAAAATGAATATCATTACATTAACAGTCCCTGTTTACCATAAAATGTGCCTGCACTTGTTTGTTTCAAGTAGTGGTTACTTTAATTATTCCTGAAAGCTCCTCAAGAAAGGCAGACATATGGAACCAGCAGGTGGCATAGTGGTTGAGGTACTGGACTCCCACATGGCCGACTATGGTTCAGGTCCTTGCCCTGGCAGCCTGAAAATCATGCCAGGCACATGTGTGTGTGTGCCTATTCAGGAGGAAAATGGAGAAGGATTGTGGTATGGCCATCTGCCCTGGTGGTGGGGAGATTTCTCACTTTCCCTTTCACTGTCTCTCTCTAGCAAGTATATACACCATGTGGCAAAAAACCTTAAAAAAAAAATGTAGATACGTATACCCAAGAAATTAGAAACTTTAAATTCTAATTTTAACTTGCTCAAAGTTGTAAGGTTTTTTTTCTTCCAGGTTCCAATTAGTGCCATTAATTTGGGGGAGTGGTTTGCAATTAAGGATATATTAATATCATCATTCGTCCTTCAAAGAACTAGCTGAGGGACCAGCAGATGGCATAATAGTTACGTCACTGGACTCCCACATGGTCAACCATGGTTTGAGTCCCAGACCCAGCGGCCTAAATCTCATGCCAGGGGACCAGCAGGTGGCGTGGTGGTTAAGGTGCTGGATTCCCACATGGCCAACTGAGGTTCAAGTCTCAGACCTGGCAGCTTCCTTTCTTACTTTCCCCTTCTCTCTCTCTCTCTCTGGTCAAATTAAAAAACAATAATAAATCATAGTAAAAAATTAAATAAATAATTTTTTTGAAAAACTCTCACGCCAAGCACGTGTGTGCAAAATACCAAGAGGAGAATGGAGGAGAAGGGATTGCGATGTGGCCATCTCCCCAGGGGGTGATTTCTTGCTTTCTATCTCTCTCTCTCTCTGGCCAATGGGCAAATACATACGCCCTATAGCAAAAATCTATCTGAAAAAAGAAAAAAAAGAACTACCTGATCTGAGGGTAAAGAATTATAGTAAAAGAGCATTTTCTAAAAAAAAAAAAAGAAAAAGAAAAAGAAAAATGATTTGATTTGATGCAGTTAGTCTAATAAAACTGGAGAACAATCTTGTTTTTATAATTTGTTTTATAAACTTATCATTCTTTCTTGATAGATACTTTATAGCTGTGGAAGATGACAAAATTTTGCCATTAAATTCAGCTGAAAGGTAAAGTTTATCTCTGGGTAATTTATTGGTCATCCATAATTTAAACAAAAACACTGCCACTGGCAAGGTGAAAACTACAAATGACCATGCTTTAATCTGAGCTTCTGTGTTTTTTTTATTATCCAGGAAACCTGGTGTGAAGCATGCACCATATATAAGGTAACTTGATAATTCTGTTATGTTGGAGCTTAGGAAAAGTGGGGCGGGCTATCAATTTTATCAGAGTATTAAAGAACGTTTCCTCTTTTTCAAGCATTGCAGGTGACGATCCTCCTGCAAGCTGTGTATTTAGTCAAGTTATGAACATGGCAGCATTTCTAGGTAAGAAGAATGTGAAGAAATGCTTTATGTGTTTTGGTACATTTCTTTTTTAAATAATTATGTAATTTTATTTATTATACTATTACTTTTAAATTTGCTATAGGGCATGTGCACTTCACCGGAAAGAGAGAGAGAGAGAGAAAGTGAGAGAGCAAGTTGCCAGGACTGGAACTTGAACCGAGGTTGGCCATGTGTGAGCCCAGTATCCCAACCACCATGGTTTTTACATTTTTTTTTAAAAATTTTGGTATAGGGTGTGTGTACTTTCTGGAGAAAGAGTGAGACAGATGGGACCAGCAGTTAGCGTAATGGCTATGTCGCTGGACTCCCATGTAGTCGACCGTGGTTCGCATCCCGGACCCGGTGGCTTAAAACTCACACCGGGAGCATGTGCGCGTGTGCCCAAGATCCCGAGAGGAGAATGGAGGAGAAGGGATTGCAGCGTGGCCATCCCCCCTGGGGGGTGATTTCTCGCTTTCTGTCTCTCTTTCTCTCTCTGTCTGGTGAGCGCACGTGCCCTATAGCAAAAACCTCTCCGAA